TCTGAATCATTTTTTCATATAATAATCCAGCAGTAATTGAGACTGCCATCCAGTAAACTCAGCAGTAATAGCTGGGAACTTCAACATTATTAGAAGGTATCTGAAGTATTGAAGGTGTTTGGTGAAGTGCTAGCGTATTGCTTAAATAGAATTGCGTGCTTTATTACCTGCAAAATAATTTCATTAGATCCAAGGGAGAATTGCCCATCACATTGGATCTAATTGTCATCTAGTGTGCATTTACAATCAAGTATAATCTAATTTTTCACCTCCTTCCCTGTCTCTGGCTTTGCCAATGGAGCTTGCAGTGCTCTAGCTCAGGATTGCTGTATTCATTGTCTACAGGATTATGCTGTGAACACTACAAGTGTTACAATCAAATAGTCTACACATGCTTTTTGTCTTGTTTTGATGAGCTTGGTAATACAGAAGCAAACTATGCCCTATGCTCTAAAATAAAAAAACTACACATGCATTTAGTGCTAAAACTGATTCTCCATAAAGAATACTAGGCCTTAACTTCCAGAGAATTGACTTATTCATTCCAATGCTACTATATTCATTTGGGGTATACTCTTGTTTCTCATTTTCCTTTCTTTAAGAAAACATTTATTAGGACATGGAGAAACCAATTCTGGGAGCTTTGATGTCTGGTAGCATGCTCTCGCTTTCCATCTGAAAAGTGGGATGGGAATATGAAGCCAGAATTTAGCAGTGCTCAAAACAGACCTTTCTGAAAAGGCTCTGGTTTGGGCAACAACCACCTGGTTCAACTTTTGCATTCTAATTCTTGCTTCTTAAATGCCTATGGGAAAACAAAAACCTATGTTACTCTCAGCAAGGGAAGGGTTACCATGTTGGACTATGAGGGCTAGCGTGTATCGTCCGATCTGTTTAAAGTCCCTATTCATACTCCCAGCTAAGATTAATGAGAAAGCTGTGGCTAGACATGGGATTATGATAGGGCTGTGTGAAACAGCACCGTTTCACTTCGACGTCTGTTTCGACATTTTGATGGAACAGTGTTTCGTTTCATTTTGAAAGCATTGCTCCATTTCATTTCTTCAGAACAGTTTTGCTGTTTCAACGCTGTTTCGAGTTTCACCCACACCCCTGGAGGAGTCTGGCAGAGCCCTTCTGGGGGTGCCGGCGGAAGGCTGCCACTGGGACCTGAGCCCAGTAGAGGGAAGCAGGGTGCAGCCCCAGCGCTGCGCTCTGCTTCCCCCCACAGGACTGAGTTCCATAGGGCTGGGAGCCACTGGGTGCTGAGCCTGGTGGGGGGTAGGGGGTGCACAGTGCTGGCAGTTTGCACCGCCTCCCTCAACCAGGCAGCAAGCCGCTAAGTGGCCACCTCCCTCCACTGGGCTCACCACCTAGCGGTTTGCTGGAGGGAGGCGGTATGCAGCTCTGGCACTGTGCTCTGCTTCCCTCCACTGGGCTCAGCTCCCAGCAGCTCCAGCCCCGTGGAACTCAGCCTGGCGGTGGGAGGGAGAGCACTGTGCCAGCTCTGCCTGCCTCTCACCACTGGGCTGGGCTTCATGGGGCTGGTGGAGCCGATGGGAGTGCAGCTCGGTGGCAGGAGGCGGGCAGAGCCAGCGCTGGTGTTCCCATCGGTTCCACCAGCCCCACGGCGCATAGCCCGGTGGCAGGAGGTGGGGAGAGCCAGAGCTGCACTGCCTACCGGGCTGAGCCACATGGGGCTGTGGAGCTACTGGGAGCACAGCCCTGGCTCTCCCCTGCCTCCCACCACCTGGCTGCTGCTTCAAAACTCAAAGTGTTTTGAAACGTTTTGACTGGCCTTGTTTTGTTTCGACGCTGTTTCAAAGTCCTTCATTTCATTTTGATTTCGCTATTTTGAAACAGCCGATGAAATTTCGCACAGCCCTAGGATATGATGTGTGTCAGTGATCTTGGGGTGGCCAGGCAGATGATAGTCTAATCTTAGAGCAGTCCTCAGGACCTTTGTTGTTGGTGGATGGGAAATAGAAGTGCAGAGACTCCATGTTTCCTGTTATTTTTTATGAACGGTAGTAGCATTGTCAATGCCTGCTATTGGAAGTTTGAGACTCAGATTTCAAAATATAGTATTATTTTAAATTATGAGATATATTATGAGATATATAAAAATGTAATTTTAAAAATGTCTTCAGTTTTCTCAGGGCTTTGGGGAACTTATCTACTCTCAAATTCTATGCATGTTTCACATTCAAATTTCAGCCAAAATAGTGCACATAAGCTGCAAAAATAGCACACCTTTCTGCTGGTTGCTCAGGCAAGGAATCTTTTAACAATCTTATCCTGTAGGACAGTGGTGTGGGATTTGCATTTTTCCCCCCATGTTCTCCATCAGTCTCCTGTTCCCAGTCCACCCTCTACATTCACATATTTCCATATTTTTCCACCCTTTCTGTTTATAGTATTTGACTCTAAATTTTCATTTTTCTATTCCACTGTATCCTTCTCAGTCTTCTTCACCACTGGAGAGAGTGGATCACAATCCATCCTGTGATGACTGACCCAGCCAAGAAATAGTGTTAAGCTTGCAGTAAAAGTTGAGGTGATTGCTTCTAAAACAAGGCCCAGCTGAAGTGGTTTTCAGAAGCAAACCTGTTGAGCCATACTGTGGGAAGAGAAGAGCTATGTAGAGTTAGGTAACCTTGGTTATAACTGTAAGGGTAACTGGGTGGAATTTTTCTTTGGCACACTAACTTCTTCCAAGCATATCCCTCACCCCTGTGACTTAGTGTACTTGGAGAACAGAGGAAAACTGATACTACTTCCTACTTGCTCTCTTTGCACTGCAAGAGCAGCATAAAGGGACTTTCACTGTGATCAGCAAAGTTTATGCATAACCTCACCTAGCAATGGCACCTAGACAGACCCCCTTCAGTGATAGAGGAGCTAGAAGTAGTAGTTGACTGTGAATAGGGCTGCTACCAACCAGAACCCAAGCACCTGCTAACATTTATCTTGCAGTGCATATGCCATATGTGCCTGTTTGCTGTGCTGGTTGGTCATACATTTTCCTCCTCCCAACCCAATTTGACTGAAAAAACAGCAAGTATTTCTCCAGTTTAGAAGCCACTACTAAGAATGACACATGGGTAATGTAAAGACATGCAAAGGCATCAGGTCTTCACATTATTTTTTTCTAAAATCTGACTCTATAGGATCACATGGGCTTATGAAAATTAAACTGTTTTATCTGGTGTATACTGGATTATCCACAGTAGCTGGATGACAGGGAGCAAGTGGAGAGTTCAGAGATGTTTGAGGTAAGTAGTTAGTGAAGCAGATGGAAAACAGATTTTGTTAAGCTGATTCTGCAAAACAGAGGGCAGCAGAAGAACCTGAATAAAAATAGACTTCCTCTTGTACGGTGATGCCAGCTATCACATTAGAGACCAGACTATATACCACAATGAAGCACATCTTTAAAGTTTATCCTATATAGGGACAGGCAGGTTGTGGAGAAGAGACCATAGGGACAAAAACCTTGGATATCAGCTTTTACAGCACAAATGGATGAAATAATCAATCAGGTTGAAATCAGTAATAGACTGACAAGAAACAAAACAATTTTACCTTAAAAGCCCCTTAGTACTGCTATATCCTATGATTAATATATAGTGTTAAACAATTTTAACAGACCTAAACAGTTACAGTTAGAACAGTCTTACCTGTTTTCATTGCAACTCCCTAATGAGGAAGCTTATTGATTAGCAAAAGATTCAAAGACTTTTTGAGGAAACCTAGGGCGCACACGTGGATTTTTGTTGACGCCATATAAAAATAAGTGGCTTTAACTGCATTTTGCTTTGAGTCCATTTGAATTTGAAATACAGAGGCTGAAATGCAGAAAAACCAAAACTGAATAAAATGCTTGCACCTTCCAAAAGATACACATTGCTTTGTTTCACATGTCCCCGACTCTAGTTCCAACTCAGTTCTGTCTTTTCAGGTACCAGAGCTTAGTACCATTTGTGCACTGTAAACTGAGCATGCGTGTAGTACACTATGTGAACAATACAATAATCACTGGAGTTGAACAAACAGAATGTATGACTTAAACAAAAAATAAGAATGAATAATTTGGTTTGAGAATAAGAAATCTTTCTTTTCCTGAGTCAGAAGGACTTGTGTAGCTGACAGAGGTGCCTTTACAATATATAAAAGCCTCATAGTCTTGTAAGATGTTCTGTTCTGTTAACATAAAATTGATGTTAACTTTGGCAAGAGTCCATATAGAGTTTCCTTGTAGGTCAGAGATAAATCCAAATATAAGGAAATAATGGAAAAAGTTATTAAGTATAGGCAATATGTATAACATCCCCTCATTCTTTGTACCCAGCCTGGTGATCGTTATATTTTATATAAAGGAGGGCAATTCCTTGCTTTTCTTGTATTAAGATTCCTGTGGCATGTCATTAAATGAACTCTTGCTCCCAAAAGCTTGTGCTACTCTACTCCTCTTCTGCCTGACTTTAGACTAACATAGCCGCCTACCTCTTTCTAAATGGTTGCAGCATTTCAGAACCAATGGTATCAAATATGAGTTAACCATATGGCATTCACTTTCATTGTCATGATAAATCAGCTGTGTAAAATTTAGAGGCTTCCTTATGTACCTTTCAGTAACCCAGAATTGTCCCTTCTACATATTTACTAGTTGATAGCCATAGGCTTTCTTTTCCACTTCACCTACAAATAAAATACGAAGCAAATCCTGCTTTTAAATGGCAGCTGGCACTGGGGTGTCTAACTTCTCAAAAGCACAAAAGGTAAACGTGGCACAAATACCACTGTTGAGTAAGCATTGTTGATATTAGCATTTTGCTTTTTTTCCCTATCTAACCTTAGTGGAAAACAGCAATTTAAGTCACAATTTCATTTATATTTTCATTTTAAAAAGGAAAAAAAAAAAGTGTGTGTGTCCACTCTTAGCAACTGAAACATTTTCTGTACTGCAATCAGTTCAACAAAAGAACCTTTTAAGATAATTTGTTTTTATGTATGTTTCTTAATACAGGTTGTGTCCGGTGATTGAGAGCTGTTAGGTCACATTTAGTGAAAGAACACTATTCCCTCTAAAACAAAATACCAAAAATAAAAACTCAAACTAGGGAGTGAAAGGGGCTAATGTAGAAATAATATGAAGTATTCTTTACAAATTACAGTGTACGCTCACACACGTTGTTCAACGTCACTACCATGGATGCTGAAATAAATGTGCTGTACAGGTGTTAAATCTTGATTTAATAAACAGTCTGTACAGTATCAAATTATATAAAAGTCTAAAAACCCCACAATGAATAGTCATATGTTATAAATTGTGTCATACCATAAAAAGATGATCAAAATGAGATCAAACCCACAGTTAAAAAAAAAGTATGAAATGTGCAATTTTGCAAGATGGAAACAAGCGCTAGAAAAATGAAACTCTTAAATAAGAAGTCTTAAAGGCTAAATGCAATTAATTACTCTGGGATTTCTCCTTGTCCCTACCAGCTTCTCCCACCTTAGTCATCACAGATCTCAAAACTTAACATATAGTGGGCTTGCTCCTATACTCCTTACGCAGTTTGGGAATGAACCCAGAGTACCCAGAACTGAGTTAATTAGGGGAGTTTGGATATACAAGGACAACAGGACTGGGATTGCTGTCGGATGCAGATGTACAGAACCACAAAAATACAATCTATTTCTAGAACTACTTGGAAAACAATAACCAAAATTATGCTTTAGTTACACAGCTGTGAACTCAATGGAACTGTATGACTGTAACACATTGTAGAATCTGGCCCACTGTATACTAAATCACAGACCTTCCTGAAAGGAAGCCATTTTATAAGAATAAATGTTGAAGATTTGAAAAATATTCCAGGACTGCATCCACAAGCTGCAAAGGCCATATTTTCAAACGCACTTAAAAAAAAACTATAACTAAAACAAAATATTCTTACTCTTCAAGGCAATAAGCCATTTCACATGTTTCACAAAATACAGAGACTAAGAACTAGTAATTAAAGGCAATATAAAAGTTAGTCAGGATGAAGCAGATGGATGTAACATAACTGAGTCTTAATTGGCACTCAGCACTGTAATTCTAGCTGCAACTTGACAAATATATTAAGACATTTATGTCAAAATATGTGTTGCATAAACCACTTTTCTTTACTTAAGTAACTGAAGTGTTAATTTTGACTTGAAAACTAAATATTTAAAGAAGGGAAAATGATACAGAGTGGAGGGAGAAAAAGATTCTAGTCATTGTTTTCAGTGATCAGTTATTAGTAATTTTTATTAATATCCTTAACTGATGATTCCCATGCAAAACCTTGCAGCTTTGTTGCTCAACTAGATGGATGGCTTGGGAAGGTAGGAAGAAGTCCACCACTGGTTATGAAGACTTTGTTTTGTAAAAAAAAATGGTGTTGGATACAGTAAGCTAAAAGTGTGTATATCCACACACACCGCATATGGTACATATTTTCGTATATACACTGTCATATATATATGACATGTGTGTATATACCCCCCCACACCCATATATACACCAATATCGCCTTCGGTAGGAGATTAAAAGTCAATAGATAATGAGCCTTGTGCAGCATCCTCTCGTCCCCTGACGTATATTTCACAAGGAATTTCTTCCATCACCCTATCCTCTATGACCTGCTCAGGGCAATCGTGGGCCTGTTTGAAAGTATAACTACTCTTCTTGAATGTGCTGTTAAATGTTTTCATTGGCTGAGGTTGTGCAAAATCATTACGAAAAGGCAGTTCCATGGAGCTGAGGTTGGTCCTGCTTTGTTTTATACTGGAGGCTTGAGAGCCACAGTGATGGTCATGGATGCATCTAGAGGCAGTAGAGGAGCGTCTCATTTTCTGGTAGTTTTCAAGTTCATCTGATAGATCAGCCAAGTCTGCAGAAATCTCTTTATCCCTTAATGAAAATAGTTCGTAATGTGGAGGGTCAAATACTTCTTGGAAACCAGTTTTATTGAAAGCAGTTTTGCAAGCCATAACTTTTTTGCGGGGCTGCTTTATTTGGACCAGAATTGAAATAAGAAGAAGAACCAGAACTATCCCTGATGTAATGCCAATGACTGTTCCATGAGTTTTGGTGATTTGTTCAAACAGTCCAGTTTTTTTCTTTTCTGCAGAAAGAGAGAAAGAGATGGATGTGAATCTGTCTGAAATGTCTTATTAGAAATATTTTGGTATAATATTATGTTTACACTAACTTACAATAATTAGCAGTCATATGTTAATATACTTTACAATATATTAAAAAAAAGAGCAGGCTCTATTTGATCACTGATATAAGCGTAGTATCTATGGACTCAATGGCCCTGCATCCACAGGAGAGCAAAAATTCAAGACACCCTGGGCGCATCTACACAAGAAGCTACATCACCAAAGCAATGAGCTATGGTGACGTAGCTTGTCTCTACAGCAACACAGTGTCAGCAGGCGCTAACCATGGTGCCGCTGCTACTATGCAGTAAGGTCGAAAATTACCCATGAACTACTGGGACTGCACTGTACCAGTGGGTACTGCATAGTAATTTAGTACTCGCTTTAACTAAAGCAAGTACTAAATGACTGCACAGTACCAGCTGTGCAGTCAGGGGCATGTGCAGACATGCCTTCTGACACTGTAAGATTAACATACCTATGATTAATCTAACTTCATATCATTCTTAGCAAATAAAAGTTGAACTCAAAGGGCCCAGTCTTCATGCTGACAACAGCCTTAGTGATTCAGTGGACTTCTCCAGATGCCAAATTTGTGCAGTCCTTAAAATACAGTTTTCTTTACTTCGTTAGGAAGTTGTATAATTAGACCTACAGCATATCTATTTCACTGCAGGTTTTGTAACAGCCCATGTTGTAAGATCAGTTAAAACATTTGAACAGATGCTTTGTAGCACTTCATATGAAGGTACACAAGATGGCAGTATCAGATTATATCAATTTTCACACTTAAAATATTTATTTAGAACCCAAAAATTCAAATAATATTTTACTCTGGAAAAAGTATTGGTCCTGACTTGCTAAAGGAATGTGCATGGATAGAATACAATATTCAAAGGAAAACAGTCAAATTATTTAGGATGTGGTCTAAGAGAGAATTTGGGTACCCAACTGCTAGGTGCCACAGGCCATGTGTAGATGAAACAGTGCCTAACTTTCAGATGTCTGGCTGCCAGAATGCATCCACAACTTGTTACAGGGCAGAAGGCAATCCAAAAAGCCTTTGTACTGAATAGGGAGGTGCATGGAATTACCTAACAGGAAATAAGGACAAAGCAATATCTGAAATTCTGTCCCTCTATGACTTGGGTGCTTTAAGACTACAGGCAGATGCCTCTCTCCATTCAGGATCCATGGCATAGCACCATTTCTTCAAAGAGTAGGGATTGCTCCTTTTCCTTTTTCAACACAGCCAGAAATGGTAGAGAAATAGGAGGAGGTGGTGCTACCCACCTTTTATCTAACAACCTAATGTCCCCTTAGACACAAGGCCACAGCATCATGGTTCTTTACTCTAATTACTCTTGTATTCATTGGCTGCATGGAGGGGTTCAGAATGACCCCAAACATGTGGGTCTATAGCTAGGTGTTTAGGACACTCTTCTGCAAAATGAGAGATGTAAGTGGTTGAGGAAGAAATTAAACCTAGGTCTCCCACATCTTATGTAAGAGCTCTAACTACTAGGATATTTAATATAAAACAAAGGTGGACAGCACCTCTAGCTCCACCATCTTAAAAGTAAGTAGCTGCCACTGAATTTTGCAAGGAGCTCAATCCTCTTGGCTTTGGGGTGTGAGGTTTTTTATTTACTTATTTTTTTTTTTAGCATGCCAACCAGATTGGATGGTTTAGGGCATAGCTTCTCAACCTGTCGTACACGTACCCCTGGGGGTATATGAGACACAGGCAGGGGGTACGTGGGTACCCTAACATACTCTCTCCCCCTCACCCTCTTTTCCTCTCAAAACTATGGCAAAAAGTTTGGTGTGCCACGCATTAAAATTCCCCAGTAATAATTTGGCATGCTGCACTTTGCGCAGCACTGGGTTCAGCCCTCCTAGCTTTGGGCAACCTCACTTCTAGCTCAGGTACATATTTGAGTTGTGTACCCCTGGTGTAAAAGGTGGCAACCCTACCCCCACCAGATTAGACATCTGTCATATCATGGCTTATATACACAGCCCTTCCTCCAACATATAGCACACATTAATTTAATCTGTAAATATAAAATCCCCTGGAAAATTGAGTGTTGGGGTACTTATTAAAATTTTCAGAAGTTAGGGGGTACTTGCTGCTTAAGTTTGAGAAACACTGGTTTAGGGGAATTTCTGCATCTAAGTTAGGTAAAAAGATCAATTGTTGATAGTTGTAGGCAGCACCATACCTAGACTCCTGGCAGCCTTGGGTGAACTTTTAGTATCGGGCCCCCTGTTGCCAGAGAGAATGACAATAATAATCAGAAAATTACCATTTTTGGGGCCACTTTGCCCTGGGCGGCTGCCTGGTTTGCCCATGCCTGTATCCGGCCCTGGTTCTGGGTATGTACAGAAGAATTTTAGGAACCTAGAAAACTTTAAAGTTCAGACAGGCATTAAGGCTGCTTGCATACATTAAAAAAAACCCCAAAACTTGCTTTATCAGAAGCAGCAAATTACTTTGACTTGGCTCCACAGCTTCTGTATAGATCAGGAGCTTCAGTGGGGCTTTTGGTGCTTGTACATAAAGCAGATTCAATGAGCTATTAGATACATTACCAAAAAAGCCCTAAAGTGCCCAATATAGATTATACAGACACTGGGTGAACCGGGTCCACCTAACACACTGCCTCTTCTGGGCATGTGCTGGGATCAATGTAGGACCGTGCTGAGTTTAAATTAAAGCGCTGCTTTTTTGTTGTTTTGTTTTTTTAATGTCTGCAAGCAGCCCTAGTGTATTTAAGTACCACCAGGATCAATTGGTATCTGACCAGGGGTTCTGGGGCTTAACGTTTTGGGAAACAGATGCCTCAATTCCATCTTAGTCCTACTTTAGGTGCCTACATTGTTTATGGAATCTAGTACCTGATGCCTTCCATCATTTCTTCTGGTGCCAGGTATTAAAATTGAGAGAGAAAATTCTTATTGGCTAAGTACAGATGGTCAAAAAGCCCATGGCTGAATCGATTCAATCTTCGCAGGTTAGTCTAAGCTGCATAGATTGAACTGATAAGCAAGTGAACAGGCATTCATTTTGATTCCAGAAATGCAGCCACATGCCTGCAGTGGCTCAGTCCAGAAGCTGGGGGGTCCTTCCTGATTGACTGGAATAGACAGCTTAGGCCAAACCTAGCCCATCCACCTGGTACGAGGGTAGGGGGAGAGTTTGTGGGGGAGGTGTAAAGCATCCTGGGATGCTGGGGGATTATGAGTTAACTTGAGTCTGGAGGGGATCTGGGGCAGGAGTTCAATAAACTCATTTAGCCTAAATCAGTTAAGTCTGTTAACCTAACCTAATCTAAATCAGTTAACCTAAGTCAGTTAAGGTTTATGTGCCCTGAACTTCTGTCGTTTTACAGATCTGAACCTATTTCCAATCACTTATACCAGCTGGTGTGTAACTTCTGTCCCTGGCCATCATATCTAAAGATAAAATATGATGGGTAGTTTAGTTCAGAAGATAATAGTTTAAAAATGCTGGGAAAGGCAGTCTCTATCTGGTTGCTACATGTTTCATGAGGAATTCATCCTTGAAATGCTATTGAGGATTTCTGAATTGAAGAAATCTAGACAAAATATACATTCCAGAAAAATATTTGTAGTCAAGGAAAATAGATCTCAGAAAGTTACTTCATTTTCTGTTCTGTCATATACAATACTAGCACAGACAAGACTTCAGTTAGACGAAATCTATTTTATGTGGGAAACTTGGGAGTCACTAATATATTTAAATAAAAAATATAAACTAGAAATACACTATATTGTGAGAGACATTGTAATATAGTAGCCACTGGAGTTGGGTAATTTTTTTTTTTTTTTTAAGATAATTTGTCAAAATATGTAGTTTTGAGTCACCCAAAAGTAATTTCGTTTGTACTGATTTCAGTGACTAGTTCCAGCTGAAAATATTTTAACTTTGACAATAAGGATGATTAGGGGCATGGAGGGGCTTTCATACGAGGACAGACTAAAGAAGCTAGGTCTATTCAGTTTAGAAAAAAGAGCTTGAGGGGGGCCATGATAAGTGTTTACAAACTACTAAATGGTGATGAGAAAGTAAATAGGGATTTATTATTTACTCTTTCTTACAATACAAGAAAATGAAACCAATAGGTAGTAATTTTAAAACGAATAAAAACGTTTTTTCATGCAGCGTGCCATTAAAATGTGGAATTCATTGCCACCCGATGCGTGTGGAAGCTGACAGTAACTAGATTAAAAAAGGGACTGGACAAATTCTTGAAGGAAAGGGGCATCAGTAGCTATTGAGCACAGGAGTTAGGGATACAGCCTCTGACTCAAAACTTCCTAGATCTTAAATGCCGGAGGCAGCAAGCGAGCGAGGAACAGTGGGGAAAACACCCTGGTCACACCCAATTCCCGCTTCCTTTCAGCCTCCCCTCTCTGCCACTTGGAAACCCAGGACACAGGACAAGATGGACCTGGGGTCTGACCCAGCAAATGGCATTTCTTATGTTCTTGAATTCTTTAAATGTTTTGACTTCTTATTTTGAAAAGTTTTATTTTGAAATTGAGCTAAAATTTTTGAAAGATAATTATTTGTTTCAGTTTAACTGATATACTGTTTGACCCAAAACAAGCTGTTTTTATTTTGTTTTGGCAGAAAAGAAAACAGAAATGTTTGGTTTCAAGTTAACTTGAAACTATATATTTTCATTCAGTTGGGCCACAAACCTGAAAAAGGTGCTTGCACAGCTGTTGTAACTACATTTATATTGTATTCATGTGCTAATAAAAGGTCTTCTTCAAACACCAAGGAATTTTCCTTGCAAAAGCTTAAAGGTTTAGGAACAGATGATGACACAAGCCTGGCAAATGCAGAAGCATATTTCAGAGTAGGCCAACATTCTGCTTAAACTTTCAAATATACTTTGCTAAGGGTATGAGATATTTAATTACAGGGGCAGGAATATCATTCTTCAACCCAGTTATAGGCCTCTTGGTTTTAAATTAAAAATTTGGAACATCTCCCTGAGTTTAGCAGAACAGCTATCCTCAGCACATTTGTAGGAAAAGATATTTTATGACTTTCTTAAATGAAAGGCAAACTGACAATCTTGGATCATAAAGGTTACATTTAGTACTATATTCACCTTTGCAGTGATTTTCATCCCAAGGGTATGCACAGTTTTGAATGCCATTGCAGACTAAAGAATTATTGATGCACATGTTGCTATGGCAAAAGTAAGTACTGCCTGGGCAGGGAGCTGCAGAAGAGAAATGGAAAAAAAGTCAGTACTGGCAAGAACTCTTACAGTGCAAATGTATATTCAGTTATTTGTTGTTGACTGTTGTGGGCTTGCAAGTGCAATGAGTATTTCTGCACATCACTGATTATTATTAGGTAGTGCCTATGTTCCCAGTAGGGCGGTTGCCAGGTGTAATACAAACAAAATACAACTACTTAAACCGGCTGGTATGAAGAGCTAGACACGTGACATCTATGATAGAAGCAAGCTTCCATAGTCTTTAATACCAGTCTTTAGAAAATAAAATGCACTATACTGTCCCTATGAATTGCATACTAATTATTTAGATTGCATTGGTATCCAAAATATGCCAAATGCTTTCCAAACACCCAAGGCACATTGCTTACCTGAAAAGCATACTGCCTCTATTTAGAGAGTACCAGAGGTGCATCACACTCAAAACCCTGCTCTGAAGTGTTCAAACTAGAAGAGAGATGTTGTATATAACCCGACTGTTGAAGTCAGGAAGAACTTGCATCCCAGACCACTTTGCAGAATCCTGGAAAGGGCATGCCTGCTCTGCTTAATGCCATGGTATGCAAGAGATATCTAGGGCAGATACTTCAGGTACCACAGGAATATAATTGTGTTAGCATGATGCTGTTCCCAGATTCTCAGCATGACCAATTAGCTTAGTGGAGCACTGCACTGCACTAACATGGCTATATTGCTTCCAGTACCATTGCTCAATGTGTTTCTTCATGAAATAGGGTATGTATACTTAGCACAAGGCAAAGTGAAGGTCAAAGTTCAGTTGTAGCAGACTCTGAGAATTAATCTTCCACTTTCCTGAGAATCCCCATCCCTCTATCAGGAACGCATACCAAGGCATTTTCAACAAAGAACATCCTTGCTGACAACCATTAGACAGTTCAGAGGAAGAGATTCACTCTTACACAGCAGACCTCAAGTCATGTGGATGTAGATTAAAGGAAACCCCTTGAATAGCATCAAACCAACTGGAAAAAGTAGCCTGTGATTTCATAGCTGTAGTGTAGCCACTTGGACTTTCACTGAGAGAGATGACTCACTCAGGTCTTCTTCAGCTCAGGGCCTTACTTTTACAGCTAATGAGGGATTAAAGGAACTGCCTCTTGCTGTTGTCATATTGTTAGGGAGACTTTTTGGTTAAATTTATTTCTTCATGATTCCCAACAAATATTTTACACAAGTATTTTACACTTCTACAATATATATAAGAAAGGTGTAAAAGTATCTGTTCTCAGAATATAACATTCTGTCTGCATTGTTTTTGACATTCCCCATAGCATGTAGCTTCCATTCCATTTCTCTGCATCAAAAATGCAATATTACATGCAAAAGATTTCCATAGTTTTGGAAGTGACTTGTATATTGAATAACAAAAATGTGACAATCCAGAGGTAGTGGTTAGGCCTGTGTGAATAGGGAAGTATTTGATTCTGATTTGGCCAATTCAGAGATTCAGATCAGCTTTGGAAGATGTGGCACCTATTCAGAGAGATTTGGTGATTCAGATTGGCCAGGGAGGCAGGCACAGCCCGGTGGCTCCTCTGGCTGTGCCTGCCTCTCCCCAGGTGGAGGGAGCTGCAGGAGAAGCCCCCATCCTAGTCCCGGCACTTTGAAAAAAAAAAGCCCCGTACTCACTGCCTGCAGGAGTGGCAATTGGGGCTTCTGGGTGCTCATGGCAGATCTTCCCTGTGCAGCTTGGGGCAGTGGGGGAAACAGGGATCGCTGCCTCCCCCCCCCCCCCAACTGGCACCTGTGCAGCAGTTGCCCAATGGCACAGGTGCAGTGTGGCTCAGCAGGGTGCTGCGTGCTGTCCGGGAGCTGGGGCCACTGGTGCCAAGTGCTGCTGGGCTCCATCATACACGTGGAGCCATCCCAGTTCCCAGGCAGTGCGCAGCACCCTGCCAAGCCATGCTGCATCTGCACCATAGGGCAGCTGCTGCACTGGTAACAAGTGGGGGTGAAGGGTGATCCCTGCTGCCCCCTGCTGCGAGGTGGGGGCTCTGTCATGAGCCCTCAGAGGCCCCCCAATTGCTACCGCCAGAGCTGGTGAGTGCAGCGCTTTTTTTTTTAAATGCTGGGAGGGGGATGGGGCCAGGCAGGGTAGCCATGGGGCCTTCTCCCGTGGCTCCTCCAGCTGTGCCTGCCTCTGCCCTGGTGGGGGCAGCCGTGGGGGCTATGCCCTGCTGCCGCTTGCCCAGCCGGCACAGGGTGGGGGGGTGTGATGCAGGTGTGGCTTGCTCCAGGCGGCAGCAGGCCATAGCCCCTGCTCCCAGTGCTGCTGCACCCGCATCAGCAATAGGAGCGGGGGCTCTGCCCTGCCACCGGTTGCCAGCTGGCATGGGGGGTGCGGGATGCGGGCACAGCAGCGCTGGGAGTGGGGACTATGCCCTGCTGCTGCTTGCCCCCCTCTGGCTGTGAGCGGTGTCCCAGCTGGGCAAGCAGCAGCAGGGCAGAGCCTCTGCTCCCAACACTACTGCACCCACATCCTGCACCCCCCTCCCTGAGTAATACGTCCCCTGCCCCAGCAGGGCAGCTTGTTCGAGCCCCAGCTCCAATCCCTCCCTCCCCAACACCCTTTCCCTCCCCCAACCCCAACAGACTTACCTGCTGGAGGCAGCTGTCAGCTGCCTGTTTAGTCAATGGCCGAATCTCTGAATTGGCTGAACCTTTTCTGAATTGAAGCATATGAATCAAATCAATTTGGAGCTTTTACTTGTTCTCCCGATTCAATTCAGATTCAGTCCCCGAATCAGGCCGAATCTCCTCTGAATTGAATCAGCTACCAAAGCTTCACACAGCTCTAGTAGTGGTGCACAGTTTGAAAAGTTCCAATTCTGTCCAGCACAAAGCAACAGCTACTCTTATTCACAGTTGAGTGCATTACCTTATCTTTATCTACTGCCTCTGTACTGTTGCACATGATCCTAGTCCTTACAGTGCTGAACTGAGGCAGTTTGTGTTCACTAGTTTTAAGTTTTCCTAAAAAGAGACCCAGGGAGAAAAATCTCTTTTAGCTTCAGTCTTTCTGAAGGACTTCATTTTCAGACCAACTTTCACTTTACGCATTGTTTTCTCTTTACTATTTAGTTTGATTTCAGGCATAATTTTCAAGAGTTCAACACCCTACTTTTCTAACAAGCACCGACGTAAGTGATCAGATTTTTAAGAAAGTTCTGCTTCCATTTACGCACCTTAGTAAGTGCCAGATTGTTTGAAATGGGAGAGAAGTAGTGTCCTTAGCTCTTTTGAAAACCTGGCCATTCTGTCACTGTAAGTGGCAAAAAGAAAGAATAAAGTCCCAGAGTTTTTTTTCTCATTGGAACTCTGACTGTATCTTTAACTATTTCACTTCACTACACTTACAATTGCAGCTGTTTAGGAAAGAATTTTTTTTTACCCTGCTGAAATCAACTGCCAAAAACACATCTGCACATGCCTTTTGAGAAATACTGAATGACAAATCTGATACTTATGCAACTATAGCCATTTTGAATATGAAACTAGATCTACTATTCTGATTGAAAACATGGAGATAAAACTGAATATTAAACATAGAATATTACAAGTAGACACAAATTAAGTCGTTCATACACTCAGAAAGAGGAGCATGTAGCGTTATTGTGACGTATAATCTGCTGATTAGATTGGAAATATGGGAGAACTCTAGGCAAACTAACAGTATGGTGAAGACAACCTGACTAGATTTTTCTTCTTTAAATTCAATACACGAGTGGGTGATAATCTAATTTATACTGAGTATAAAGTATAGCTTTAAAACTATTGACAAGGTCAGACTAGAACAAATATTAAAAGACCTCTTTCAATTAAGAGACAAAAGAAAATATCCACAAGGTGGCATACAAGATGGCTGTTGTTCTAATATCTGTATGTGTTTTTTTTTCCTTGACTACAGCTCTGCTATGCAGGCTAAGATGTAAGGCAGGCATTTACAGGAAGATTAGTAAGGCACCTGCTAAGATAATAATCAACCACTCAAGCAAGATTTACTTTCGGGAAGGCAAAAGAGAGTGTTTGTTGAATAGAACTAAATGCTCTTGGAGGCATGAAGAATTATGGGATATAACAGCAGCTCAGGAATTTAATGAAAGATGAATATTTTTTAGTACTTTCTCTTAGCCACCTCCTTTTGAGGCCGGTTATAAAACATGACATTTGATTTTGTTTTATACTGTATTTTTAAGAGAGATACTCAGATAACCTATTTGAAACATTTTTCCATGTCTTTTCTTTTCCAGATTTTTTTAAAACTGAGACTGTTTGAAATTCCAGGGACTGTGGGTTTCAGCCCTGGAAAGGGAAGCTCAGATCTTTATTCTTCCAAGTTAGATCAGTTGAGTATCATGCAGGTTACCGCAAAAAGTGGGGAGAGAATCTTTTAAATGGGAAACTTTAAAAACTGACCCCATGCAGAATTAAGAAGAAATTAATGAATAGAATGAAAGTTGCTTTGAAGATGCAATGCTTCAAATGCTCTGGCATCTCATAGTTAATGCATACATAGTTTCTTCTCAATAATTTCTTAGGGATTTTCTTTAGGGGTGGGATTTGCTTGATGACCTTGCCAAATTTCTGGGGACTCTTCTAAACATATAAAGGCCACCAAGAATCTGTTTCATTATCCTGTAAAAAACTTATTTTCATAACATGTTTCAGTTCAAGCAGTATTTATGGTATGTGGGACACCTTATTATTCTCTTCTTACAACGGTACTTCAAACAGTTTACTCTTGTGCTGAAATATGGTTTGACTGGACACTAAGTAACAAGCATAGCCAAATACTATTCAACAGGTGTCTGTCTTTAGATGGTTTAAATGTGTTTCTATTAAGAGAGGATGGTGCCTTTTTGTATATTTACTTTTAGCCTGAAGAGGCTGTTACTTTGGTCCAGATTGGGCTACTTAGTGGCTGCCCTACATTGTGGCTAGTGGAAGAACTGTGCCTCAAA